CCTTAACTGTTGGTACCATAACCCCCAAAATCAATCCCAACCTTCCTTTTGTGGTATAGAACCTTATGGTAAAATTTCATGGAGATCCATTCACTAAAACTAAAGTTAGAGTGCGAAAACCAACGTGTCTTCGGACGACGCCGGATGACGACGACGACGACGCCAACGTCATACCAATATACGACCAAAAAATTTTTAATTTTTGCGGTCGTATAAAAATCATGCATCAGAGACCAATATCAACTAAAACACATCCCAGGGATTTAGTATTTTAACGTCATGGACAGTCAAAGAAGACAGGACTTGTACAATTCCAAAAATAAATGTATCGACAGGCAGTAGGCTAGTTAGGAGTTAACCTCTTTATAGATCAAAATGAACATGGGTGTGTCTTCATACATCCCGTTTGAAAAGAATACAAATTTAGTTATGTTTTAATTTGCTGATGACAAAATCGATATTAGTGCCAATGTAAACTATATTCAAAGATCTAATTACAACATTGGTAAGAAAACCTTTACTAATAAGTTTGTTTAAAGGTTCGATGAGTTTACACGGATCACATAGTGATTTCTGCGCTTTAAGTACAATATTACCGTAAAATTTAGGATGTGAAATACCATTTTTAATCAGTTTTCTACAGGTACAGCCAAATTTACTAATCAAATCTTTGTATCTATGAAAGAATTTAGTAAAAGTTTTACATAACTTATGGTAACGAAATCCCTGACTTAATAATTTACCAGTGATGCATTGATTACGTTCGTTAAAGTCTATGACATCACTACACACACGGGCATAACGAACGAGTTGGGATATATAAACACCGTATGATGGAGCCAAAGGAACATCGCCGTCTAAAAAAGGAAAATTAACAATAGGGAATGAAAAGTCGTCTCTTTTGTCGTAAATTTTAGTATGGAGTTTTCCTTTAGAGATAGAAATGTCTAAATCTAGAAAAGGACAACTACTGCTGTTTATGTTAAATTTAGTTAAAGTAAGTTCTTTTGGGTAAATTTCGGTAGTATATTTAGAGAACTCTGGATTATTTAACTAAAATATATCATTTAGATAACGGAAGGTATTGTTGAATGTATCAACCAAATGTAACAATGTCTTTACTGAGTTTGGTCATAAACTGAGATTCATAGCAATACAGGAATAGATCTGCTATTAAAGGGGCGCAGTTAGTGCCCATAGGAATGCCTACTACTTGTCGATACACTTTATCGCCGAAACGTACATATATGTTGTCCAGGAGAAAATTTAAAGCTTCAATCATATCTTCACATTTCCAGTAAGTGTATCTAGCATACTTTCCTTTTTCGTTACAGAAAAAGGCTTTAAACGAGTAACAGCAAATAAATTTGTAATGAGATTTTTCAAAAGACCATTTAATTAAATATGAAAACTTTTTCTTGATAAGATTGTGTCAAGGCTTTAAACCATACATTAAAAGTGAACATACGAAAATCACCTTTAAGAGAACAAGATCAGATGTCAATCCTGAGCGGAAATACATAGATGGAGCTGTCCAGACATCTGAAAAAGATATTTACGCTTTGATACCAAGTGTTATTGAATCCCTGAGGTCAATGAAATGTTTAGAAGATTTTAAATCTACCTTAATTGCTGTTATAAACGGACACCTGTTCAACAATATAGCTTTCCATTCACTTAAAGATGTTGGCATTTTATTTCATAACACTAGGTATAGTGGAGACCATACTTTTTTGGCTAACAATTCGGAAATTATTTAAAGGAAAAGGTATCAATTTTGCCCGCGGCTAAAGGGCCAAGGACTCAACAGTGAACAATCTATAAAGCCAGAAGAATGCAATATAAATTTCGCCGTACCATCAGATCTTGTTTTATGTAAACACTCTGCAAAGTATACTTTGGATGCTGCTAACCAGGTTTACTGGATTAATCTATCAACATATTATCCGAAAATCGGGAATAAATTGAAAAAAACAACGGTAAATCCGTAAAACTCAGGTCTGATTTTTTACAGCTATGTTAAATTCTCTTTTCTCTTAGTTATTTTGACGCATATCGTAATAGTATAAAACTAGGTAATAAATACGGGATTTGATAGTGTTTATTGTCCTTTAATTGTTGAAATTATCAATCTTACAATTTTAAAAACAAAAGTTACCCACATTCGAAAATAAAGTTACGGACAGTCTGATTAGTTTTGACCATAAAGTTACGGACATCTTATGCATTTTTTAAAGTTGGCCTTGCGCTAAAATTAACAAATTTATGGTAATGGTAAGTGATTTATTTATTCAAGAATCCTATAAATATTTATATAGTGCATGAAAAACGTTGCAAAAAGTAGATTTTTGTATCAATCATATATCAACGAGTTTAGAGACCGCCATCTTAGGCTGTGGGTAACTTAAGTTACCCACAGCCGTTTAAGCACAGTGACAGTTGGTGATAAATTAAAGTATCTACACAAAGAAAACCTGCTTATATAAATCTCAGTGGCGGATCCACAACTTTTCATAAAAGGGGGATGGCCGCTGACTGACATAGGTTGCCCAATCCCGTCATGCTTCCCCAGTGGCGGATAGGTGGGGAGGGTTCCGAGGGTTGGAACCCCCCCTTTTTCTGGACGATCAATGCATTTGAATGGGGACACAGTTGAAACACACCCCCCATCCACCCTTTGTCCTGAGTTGGGAACCCCCCTTTTATAAAATGGCTGGATCCTCCCCTGCTTCCCTATAAAATCAACCAAATTTTCCCCACCCCCTGGATCCGTCTATGTAACTGTTTATCGTTCTGCGTAATACTGGCTTTTTCACCTCCCTTACTTGGCCCTAGACAGTTGCTTATCTCAATATCTGTTTATCGTTCTGTCACTGGCTTTTTTTAGACTAGAGACTTCATGTGTACAAACCTGACGTCAAACTCGTGTACTATAAAAGAAGAGACAAATGATTTCACATTAAATCCTGTAACATAACATCTAAAGATAATTATAATCCAAAGTAAGTTATATTACGATGTCAATGGACTAAATTCCCGCGCAAATGTCATCACTGGGATAGACCAAAACGAATTTTAGGTTTATGTATCATTCACATTCCGATCAATTTACTCAGTTAAATAAAATATATGTGTTAACTATTTTTATATTGGTTTTTGAATTTAGTTAATCTATCAGAAAAAAAGATTTATTTCTCGCAGATAGCCCTCAATACTATACACCAACTCGACACTGAAGCTAAAAAAAACCTAAAACCAGAGACATATAATTATATGTCTCTGCTAAAACATAATAGTATATGGAATCGTCCAAACGGATTACCTAATATTGATATAGGTGAAATATGTAGATTCAGAATTGTGTACACAGAAATAAGATCAGAAATAAAGCCCTATGTAAGGTGAAAACAATAACACAACTGTATAAAATCATTGTTTATTAAATTTGCTTGCATAAGAACCATGAAGTTAAAATTTATAACGATTACGTTTATCCTGTCAACCCCTTTCCTTCATTGCATCAAGGCTTCCGTTGCTTTACATCGAGCAGCAATTCAACCAATCGGGGAATGTTAAGTTGGGACATACCTCTATTTTTGGAAGCGTGATCTTTACATCGAGGCTTTGCGTTGCTTTACACCGAGGCCACAGTAGTTCGACCAATCGGGGAATGTTTATTTGGGGCATGTGACCTATTGAACTGCAGGTTTTATAATATTTTAATCGAAATTGTAGAAAAATGAAATGTTGTTAGTACATACAAAACAGAAAATGATGAATACTTTTAGTAAAAGATATTTTGGATCCGGGTTCTGTGTATTCACATCATTTGTACAACTCTCCTTACTGATGCCATTTTTTGGAATTTCTGTGACCTAAATGGTTCGCGAAAATTAATATTTTATTATATAGTATATTAAATAAATCAATTTAAGCCCAGTTACCACCTACTTTAAGCAATTTTAGTTAAACAACAAGAAACAAAAACTATTAGAATTGCTTCATTTTATGGTTATTTTAAGAGTATTTTTGATCAACTTTCCATTATTTGCCAAGCTAAAATTGTTTACCTGTCTTAGAACTGATATACGCCTTTAAAAATATTATAAAAGTTAAGAATAAAAAATATGATCTTAAGAGAAAACTGCTATTGAGTACATGTAGTATATACAAGTTGTTTATTACATCTGTTGCGCAAACTTTCTGGCAACCTGCCAAAAGGTCAGAAATTCTCAAAAATCTAATTTTTTTTAGTAATTAACTAATGCTCCTTCAAAATATGATAAAAATAAAATTTCATTTAAGAGCTATATCAATTATCCAGTCCCTTAAAAAGTGCATAAATAAGACCACGGTGTATTTTTTAGCCATTTTTTACAATAATTCACCAATATGCAAATTAGGCGGTTAAATGGAAAATAGTGCAAATTAATAAAAAAAAAACAATTTTAATCTTAACTCCTGAATACCTAAAGTTTTTGGAAATATATATAATTTTGGCAAGTTGTAACAACTAATTTGGACGAAATTTGGGATTTTGCATGGTTTTATGGCATACTGGCTCTTAAAAGTATTTTTGTGAATCTTTGGAATCGTCACAGTAGTTCAACCAATCAGCGGAATTTTAATTATTGGCATATCTATTTTTAATGCCGTTTTTTGCATACCGGCTTAAATAGAAATTATAGAAAAATGGAATGTTGATAATAATAAACTCTTTTTACAAAAGATGGATTGGATCGGGGTTCTGTGTATTCACATTATTTTTATAACTCTCCTTACTCTTGAGAATTAGGGGAATTTGCGACCCAAATGGTTCACCAAAATTAATATTTTTATAGTATAGTAATAAGACACATGGTTAAGAGATAAGAAAGACATCACATCATATCTGACTTTTCCAAAATGCCGCCAATTTCATTTTTTCCGCGAAATTAACGCAACTTCAGAATGGCGGGTTCTAGTATCAGTCACATTGTTGTTTTAGAAAGTAGCAAACAGTCGTTTCTAAGGGCTTGCTTTCCGACTGTCTAGGCAAACGACAAGGTAAGAAGGCAGACTTGTATGCTCTGTATAGTATTTTATTTTCTAGATAAATGGAAAGGGAATTAAAAAATATATATATATTTAGTCTCCTCGCTTTGAATCATCAATAACAGGTATTGAAGTAAAGGTATGTACTATATACTTACGAATCGTTCGAATCAGTTGCGTAACACACACACAGCTTTTTAATTGATATTTTGCGTGATATTATCCTATTCAGTGTTTCCTTTTTTTTATTTACAGCTCAAATGGTTATCTGTTGACTGTTTACAACAGTATGAAATTTGCTAAAATGCTATACTGTGCTACTGTTTTGATATTCGGATGTATTATGTTGTCGTCTGCTTGCAGACTTTCCCAACATACTATCCTGGGAGTCGAGAAAAAGTTGAAAGAAGAAATTAACACTCAAGAAAAGATGCTAAAAATAAATATAGGAAAGATACTTAGAAAAAATATAGGAAAGATACTTATAAAAAATATAGGCAAGATACTTATAAAAAAAGGTATGGAAATAATATGAAACTAGTTTAAGAAATTAACCAAAGTCTAAAAATATCATTTCGCGATACCAAGGACGTATATTAGATGTTAGTTATACGTCCTTGGCCACACCTGGGACATAATATATTGGTATAATAGTCCCAGGCCATACAAATAAAAAGTTGTTGTTGGTGGAAGATTTTTCTGGTGGTTATATCGGTTAACTTATTCAATCTTTTTATACTATTGTAGAGACACCGGTCTATTTTTTTTAATTAGACACTTGTCTACTTTTGAAGATTGTATGTTTTCTCTGAGTAAGTAAGTAAGTAAGTCATCTATATTTAAAGTCGGGTTGCATATATACAAAAGAACAATGAACATGAGATCTTAAGAGCTCTTTAACCGACTCTCTACTATACGTCTTTTTCTTTTGGTTATTGGGTTCACGTATATATATTTGAATAAGAAGATGTTGTATGAGTGCCAATGAGACAACTCTCCATCCAAGTCACAATTGGTTGTTTTTGTAGTCTAGTACTGTCTTTTCGGAATACATCCAGGTTTTTTCTATGGCCACTTGCCGTCCTACGTATTATGTAATTGATCTAATGAATCATATTCATTAGCGTTTTACCACAAACACTTGTCTCTGAAAAAAAAATCCCATTTACCTAAAATATAACACAAGGTACTTAACCCTCTTGCTGCCGGAGAGACACATGTGTCCACACCGACTGTGGCGGAGGGACACATATGTCCATGTTTTAATATATGAAAACTTCTCCTCATTGCTGTATCTTTTTCAAATAAAAGACCAAAGATTAAATAGTGTTAGATTTTTCTTCAATGGGTCCCAAATGTAACGGTCATGTTGGCGTGACGTCATAATTCGAATATCGAATTACGTCATTGTTGGACATCTGACGTCACAGACGTCGAGCTGTCGTATTTCCTGGCACACAAAATGAAACCTTGAAAAACAACTGGCAGCAAGAGGGTTAACTCGCATTTTTGAAAAATGACAATAGTATCAGAATTGAGATTATGGGTAATGTTTACAGTGGTATTACTGCTAGGCTTGGACTTAAGGATGTACTTAGGTTAGGTTTAGGAATTTTTGTCAGATGTTCGGACTCCTTGATTTTTTTCCTACGATACAGCGTAAAATATTTTGCCCCATAACACCCATTTTTCTTTCATATATGACTTCAATAGCTCATGAAAGGTCATTTACAAAAAATTAAGCAGATTCTAGATTTCTTTTCTTTCGATTTGAGACCAAAATAATGTAAAGCAAAATTTTGTCCTATGAAATATTGTCCCTTAAGACAATATTTCATGACTATGCATTATGAAATATTGTCCTCATCTATGAAAAAATGTCCAGAGAAGGACAAATTTCTATTGTGCAATTTTTGTCTGTATATAGACAATATTTCACAAATGAATACTATGAAATTTTGTCCTGTTAAAGGGAGGTTATATTTTGTGTGTATTGAGACACTATTTCATAGACAGATTGTCATGAAATTTTGTCTCATGAAGAGGAGGTTATTAACATATATCATGTTGAATAATGATATCATTAAAGTGTTGTTTTTTTTTTATTGATAATAACAAATAAACACAATAATATTTGAGTTACTCCTGTACCTCCAAAACGCTGTTGCAAAAAGATTTGTCAATCTAGTATTTGAACATAAATTAGTAATTGTCAGTACATTACTTAATATATTCATATACATTACACAATTCTTTAATCTATTAACAATGTTAACCATTCATAAAGTATCCATGCAAAAATGAAACTAGCTTATGTTAAAATAAATATTAGTTTGAAATATAAAATACTTACTTCACAAAATAATTTTAGATATTAATCTAAAAATGGGCATGCTGCATGATTAAGAAATATTTTCATGAACAGTATTTCACAGTGAACAATTGTCATGGACAGAATCTCACAGAGAAATAATGTCATAGACAGAATTTCACAGTGAAATAATGTCATAGACAGAATTTCACAGTAAAATATTGTCATGGACACTATTTCATAGTGAAATATTGTCCAAAATGAAGTGACAAAATTTCATGGACAAGGACACTATTTCATAATGAAATATTGTCCTGCAGCCGGTTGTACGAACGTGTCATTAGCCTAATGGATCATTAAGTCCTCATTAAGCCTTTATGATGCATTAGGCCAATGAAGACTTAATGACTCATTAGACTAATGACACGTTCGTACAACCGGCTGCTGGACAGTATTTCATTATGAAATAGTGTCAGCGGACAATATTTTTTTATGAAATTTTGTCCGACGGACAATATTTCATGCATGGAGGACAATATTTTATTTTACAATAATACCAATGCAAATATAAGGTAAAAGTCCGAGTCAGCCTTTTTCCTCCATTTAAAAAAAATTAAATATCTCGAAAAGGAGCTGCATAACCTATCAATATTTTTAGCTTATTTTGTTCCTTAACTAATGCTCTTCTGACTTATAGTATCAATTTTAAAATCTAGATTTTTTATATTTCACCTAAGTACATCTTTAACCAACAGCACACCATGCGGTCAAAAGGGGGATTAGCAAGGGCCTGAAAACAGTAATAACTAAGATTGAAATTGTTTTAAGATCTTCTTTTTTTAAAAGCGCATACATTTTATTAATAATATTATAATCAACAATAATACATGTAATATAGTATAAAATGCAATTATTAGTATCATTTAATTCATATAATTTAGCAACTTAAATGAGCATTGAATACATTTTACTTAATGACATGTATACCATAGAGAATATCATATGGCTTTTTCAATATCACACCTGTATCAACCCGAGACACCAATATAATCACAAGAGCTCTGTTCGAGGGATTATATTGGTTGAGGGTTGTTACAGAGTGTAATATTGAAAAAGCCATATCATATACACTTTACTATATACATGTACCTCAAGTACAACTAATTTAGATGTTTTTTTTCACGTGGAATGACGTAAAACATATATAAGGAGTTTGATAAAGCCCGTTTAACCGTGACTGATATCGATTACGTGACGTCATACAGATTAGGGGTTTGATAAAGCCTTTGCAACCGTGACTGAAATCGATATCATCACGGTTGGCTGATACAGCATAATTGCCATCGATTGTATTACACATACAATTTGCTTGTATTTACTATTAAGTATATAATAAATCTAATTATCACAACATTGTGCAGCTACCTACCAAGAATTTTTTTTAGAGAAAACAAATTTCAATGCCGTAAAAATCGCTTTCGAGCTCCGTAAATATCGGTGAAATCCTACAATAAAAGGTCTGCTCCTAGATTAAAATACAAATCTGTGTTACAAACTGCTGCTGAAATATGTACATTGTATGAAAATAATCGATAAACGTGTTTTAAAAGTACACAAGATAAAATAAATCAAAAGCATGCACTGCTCGTGAACTCAGATCAAAACATCAATTACCTGCAGTGACAAAAGAAACACGTTATGTGTTATTCCGTCGATATACATGCTGTCTGTCCAACATCTCCACCTAAAAAGATAGAAATATGCCAAGTTTTCGCTAATATGAACGAGCCTTGTGACGTCACAATCTGGCACAAGAGACGCGCGCGGGACCTGAAATAGAATAAAAACTTTCCAATCTAAATATAGAAACTTAACCAATACAAGAATGTGGACCCTTGTATGACAATGAGAACGTGGGTCCCGCCCCTCTTTTTATTTAGAAAAAGGGGGTGGTCATTAAACCTGTTTCTTTCTTTTACTCGTGTTTTTTTCCTCCCCTTGTAATATGAACAATTGACTGGTAGACGTTAAGACATTCATTGAACAAATTAATCAAACAAAGCTAACAAACAAACAAACAAACATGTTGACCGTTTACAATTGCTTTTTAAAAGCAATTGATTTATATTTCTATATTGATTTTCTATTTGTTTATACTGGAAAGATATTATCTAGCATGAACATCAAATCAGTTACCGTATATAAACATGACATAAAAGTGATTTTCTTTTTAAAGTCGAAAATTAGATATTGTGTCAGTAGTTTTGCGAATTTCTAAAACTTATGATATCATGTGTAGCCCTCTTTAATTATTTTTTTGCGCAGCGACATCTGTTGACGGCTTTCTCAGAAATTATCTCCACTTGATTCTCGGATAATAAATCCGGGGTTTTAACGGACAAATCAGGGATTTGCTGTCCGGTTGTTTGGAATTACAAAATAAAAATAATAAAAATCCAACGTTTTAGTATAAGCTTTAATTTATCGTATTGCGTGTGTATGCGTGTGTTTATAATTTTACTTCATTTTGTGATCACGGCCCATATCATCAATGAATTTCTTTTTTAAGTCTCTGACCTGTGCCGTTTTCTAGTGCTTATAAGTCAGTGTAGGGACAGTTGTAACAAGGTATATACGTCCAAGACCGTATCTGTTTTCTGTTTTAGAGTTGTCGAAACAAAGGTGCATAGCAGTTCTTACAAGCTTTTAGTTAGGCGGCCAGTTAACCCAACTCAAACACTCTCCGACCATCACGCCATGCTTAATTATTTCATTCTCTTGGGAGGGAAGATCTGTTTCACTCGGACAAAAAATTTCATGTACAATAATTACGCTTTTTGATAAATGTTGATAGAGTGCATCGAGTACAGTTACACCGTACTTGTCTGTTTTTCCGACGAGGCGGAATCTCCCGACATCTTGAAAATATTTTTTCTGGTATAAGGGAGATAACTCTCATAACAACGAACGTAATCTTACCGTTTTCCGGAAGAGGTGCTGATTTTACGTACCTCTCACCTTAAGACTTTATCTTTTAATTCTGTGATTTTTTTTTTATCTCTTTTTTTCTATGTTAGAATTTCTTCTAATAAAAAGAAATAAATGACTTTATTACATTGTTTGCAATGAATTACATTGATTTCCCAGTGAAATAAAAACCGATAATTTCACATGTGAAATAAACGTGGTTATTTCACTCCTCTGACG